GCGGCGGGGAACCACACCGCCTCACTAGGGGTGGGAACTTGGGAGAGCCGGCTTCTGTTCCTGGCTCAGCTACTGATCTGCTTTGTGACTTCTTAAGTCATTTCACTTCTCTCTGCCTCTTGGGGATCGCTACAAAGAATAATTCTATATATTTTCTTTTCTATTTACCTCAATTCTTCATTTTGCTTCCTTCATTTTAACTCTCTGGCCACTTCAGAAGGACCTTTCCCTGAGCGATTTGCTAACACCCAAGTAAAGAGGTTACAAAAGTCTGTTCTTGCCACACTGGTCCCCAAGTTTAGCTCTTGCATAAAACTGTTCTCTGATATGTTAGGAAACAAGAGGCAGTGTGCACTGCTTGGAACTTGGCATGTAGGAGGAGGGGGGGCTGTCATCTGACCAGCCCTGGATTGCAAAAACAAGGCTACGGAAACGTGTGCAATGCATTTTCAAAGCAGAAGCAGAGGAAGAATTGAGCAATTCTAAGCACTCTTCTCCGGGCTAGCAGCTTCTGCAGATCGGCCTGTTAGCTGGCATCAAAACCTGGGCCTTTATTCCTAGAGCCCAAAATCTGCCGAGAGGGCCTGGCTCTCCTTCTCTGCTACCTTGGGGTAAATCAGGAGCAATGCCACTGAAGTTAAGGACTTACAAGGGTGCGACTCAAGGGAGAATCGGGCTCAGGACCTTCATGTAACTGTAGCTGGCAGGGAGCTGCGCAGTCCGTGCAGCTTGCCTGATCTGATCATTTACATCATCACAGTCAGACTTCAGCAATTCAGCTGCAGCCTGGCCCAGCTGTTTGCACACACAGCCCAGAACACTGTACCCTGGTTACGGCCAGCCAGGTGACAAATCGTGGTCACTGCCCTCGACTGGCTAAGAATTAGTCACCTTTTATTAATTTTATTACTGTCTCCACCACCCCCAGCCTGTCTGCCAGACCCACCCTCCTGTTATGCTTTGTCTTTTAAACTATCAGGACTTTGGGGCAGGATCTGTCATTTATTACATCTCTGTACAGCGCCTGGCACAAGAGGCCTACACCCTGCTTGAAGCTTTGGGGCACAATCACTTAATAAAAATCACATGGGTCCGGACAACTAACTGCTTTTGTGCTACTTACTCACTCAGTACCTGCTGGCCTGTGCAAAAGAGGGGTTTCCACACGCAGCAGATGTTACACACACAGATGCAGCTGGCCCCGGCTGTCTCATAGAGCTAAAAGAACCAACACTCAGAGCATGATCCTGCATGCTGTGCCATTGATTGTTTTTAATCAGAACTCTCCAGGGATTTCAGCTGAGAGTGCAAGTTAAAAACAAGTGCTGGGCTTGCTTCTGAGGGTCTAGATGGGCTTGCACTGATCTGGATGTTTATTCAGAGGGATCCACTTATTTTTTTCCCTTTCACACCCTTAGAAGAGTTCACTGACTCTGGAAATATTTGTCACTGGTCCAGCCAGGCATTTCTAGCCCATCGAAGGCAGGGATAGATTGAATTGGTAAGAACATATTGCATCATTCTCTAGGCCTAGCTGGGCTTTCCTCACTTCCAGTCCTAAGTGACTGGGTACCATGGAGCTGTTTCAGGCGATTGAGATTTAGGAAATGTCTTATGTTAATATTCTTTCCCTTCCAGTAACCCATTCTGTAAGCACAGTTAACAAGACACGACCGGTCACGGGCTTGCCAGAGGCACGAGGTGTTGCTGCCCCAGTGGGTTTGTACTGGTTGAGTGACACATTATTGCTCCCAGAGAAGCCGCTTTTGCAGGCGCGCTGTGTTCACATCCTACACAGCATCCCAGGCCATGGCAGGGCCACTCACAAGGGACCCACTGAATTGCTCTCATACCTCAGGCCCAAGTCTGCTTCCACTGAAATGGGTGGGTCTCTCCGCAGCTGACTGCAACGGGGGCATGACTGGGTGTGTGTGCAGGGCACTGGGGCCTAAGCCCTGGTGGTGACCGTTAGTAGACATTCTCCTTTTGTTACTCGGGGTTCTTTCAACCCAAAGCTCTTGGTAACTTTTACTCTGTGCGAGGTGGTGTCAGGAAATAAATCAGGGGAGACACGGCCGTCCGACCGATCGGTGGCTGGCACAAACAGGACAACGCAAGGGTGCTTTCACTTAAAGCTAAACTTTACTTAGTCTCAAGCACTTACACACGTCCACAAAAGGTTAGTAAAACACCCCAACTCTTGAGAATTACCAAAGCTGAGGGTGGCTCTCGAGTGGCACAGCGGCAGGCTTCCGGTGGCCAAATCTTCCGTCTGCCAGTGGGGACTGCAAGATGTATCCAGAGGGAGAGTCCAAAAAGAGTCCCCCTACCTCAAACTTTCCCCCCTTATTTATATATTAGACATGTCCCTTAAAGAAAACTTGTTACAAGCAGTTTCAGTGGTCCAGCAAAAGGTTCCTTCTGGTTATCGATTAACCAGGTGCGGGTTTTTCCAGAGTTTGCAGCCTTGAGGCCCCAATAGACATTCCCGGGGCACATCCTGCTCTTCTAAGATGCATGAATCAGCAACTTCAACACAATTCTTATCAGGAAGGAAGGGAGTCAAGCTGCCCTCTCTGTGGCACCCAAAGATTCCCCCTCCCCTCCTGCCTTGGTTAAGCTAAGCTGCTGACTTGGCCAATTTACAGCCTGCTGACTTGGCTGCTTTTAGCAATAAGCCATAGTGGTTTCAGGCACTTTACGGGTTTGCCAAAGTCTCCCCGTACAGTTTAGCTCACGTGGCAGAAACCTGTTTTCAGAGGCCAAGGGTGCAGGTTCTACCCCTGCGGCAGCATATCTGTGATTTAGCTTTAAGGTGTCCATTAGCTTCAGCCCAGGGACTCATTCCAGTGTGGCTTTGTCTTTTCCCGCTTCCCTTCCCAGCTGTTAACCGTCCCCCTCAGCCCCAGTTCCCAGGATCCCATGGCTCCAGGTCAGGTTTGGGCTCTGTGATTGCTGTCACACACTGCTACAGCCCATGGGGGCTCTAAGGATCAGGTACCCACCAGTAGCTCACTCCTGGAGGAGTGAGCCATGTTCCATGTAATCAATTGGTTACTCTCTAAGGTGCCACAAGTCCTCCTTTTCTTTTTGCGAATACAGACTAACACGGCTGTTACTTTGAAACCTTCCATGTTTATGTAAGAGCCCGGGACCTGCCCCCAGCTCAGCAACAGGCCCCGTCTATGTTCAGTTGCATACGGCTCTTCTGGGTAGGCCAGGGCAGCCTGCAGTAATGCTGGCGCGGCTGCACATCTAATTTGCCCACATGTCCAGGAATTGCACACTTAAATCAGTGCAAGGTGGCCAGCTGGGTGTCTAAACGGCTGTTGGCAGGCACAAATCCATGCTTTCCAGGGCACAGGCTGATGCCACAGTGACATGGTCACAAATCACCGTGTGCAGATTTCTGAACGCAGCTGATGCTTGGTATCATTGGGGTCATGGCACGGAGGGATTAGAGGACCGTGGAAGGGTCCTGCTGCTGGCAGGCCCCCTTGTGGCTGGGCATAGCATACCAGGCTTTCCTCCTCTAATGTCCCCATGGGACGGGTGCTCCAGTCCCTCCGGCGGTCTGCCTCATTTCGTGACTCGGCCCTCCGGCCAGGCCACAGCCGTGCCCCCCCTTCTGGGGTAACAGACAGTCCAACAAAAACAAACGCCTGGCCCCTCTGCCGCACTTGGTTCTGGCAGACGATTTTCCCAGGCTGGTAGGGAAACCCAGGCCCATCCTCTACGCTGGCTTCCAGTCCAGTGACCCTAGCACAGGCAGTCAGGCTCACGCCAGACTCCTTGTTGCTAGCTTCCCTCTAGACTTCTCCCTACCAAGCCTGTCAGCAGGGTTCCCTAGGTGTGTCCTGCCAGGGCCAGGACTCACAGGGCTCCCCCCGGAATACCCCATCAACCCTCCCCCCGCCAAACAAAAGTATAAACAAACCCACTTCTGCCCTCCTTGGGCTTGACCTTTCATCCCCCCAATCCACAGTGGAACACCTCCCAGGGGTCTCTTTCTGCAAATCCAGATCCTGCTTCATTATCAGGGCTCAGCTCCAGCTCCAGCTCTCTCCTGGCCTCTTAGCAGACTCCCCTGCTGAACCCACTCTTCCCCTGGGCTCCCTCCTGATCTCTCTACTCTCATCCCAGAAAGTGACTGCAAAGCTTCTCCCTGCTCCAGACTTCTTGCCTTTAGAGCAACCACCCCACCCCTCTCCCAGCTGGGACTCATGGGGCTAGCCCACCGCCCTAGCTGCAGCCAGCTGGGTTAATTGGCCTCTCATTAACCCTTTTACAGCCAGGATGGGGTATATGTATCCCATCACAGGGCCAGTCAGGATCAGGTCCCCCTTGCGTACACACACACAGTATGATATAGTCCTTGCCCTGAGGAGCTTACAATCTAAAGCAGGCCCCTTTCAGTTTCTTTCCCTTGAGCTGGGGTGGGGGGATAAGTGGTATCTCCTAAGCAACACCCACTTGTGATGCCAAACTGCAGTGTCATAGCTGGCATTAAAATGATCATCACTGGGCCCCTGAGTTAGTTCGGCATGGCAATGTATGGGGCAGGAGCTGTTATTTCAGGCTCTCCGCAGGCTCAGGCAGACACTGCTGCAGAGGGCACAGATGAGATCGCATCGAACAAGATGGCAGCTGGGGAGAAGTGGTGCTACACCACATTGCTGGGCATCTCTGACCCAGACCCTGGGAGTTAGGAGCTAATAATAAATGAAATGTCACAGGGAGCTGCACACCCATTTGTTCCTTCTTTCTTCGCAGCTGCTTGCCCATGCCAAGTCAGGCAAATGTTTTGCAATACACACAGCCCCAGCATTGTCCCTTGTTTGGGCTGATCTTCTTGTTTTGCACATACCAGCAGATTGGCCAAGGGAGATTTCCTGTAAACAACAGGAAAAGCCTCAGTTTCTGGGGAGCCCAAGGACATAAACAGTGAATCATGAATCTCCCCGTCGCGGAGCAAGATATAAAAGGGCTTCCTCAGGCACCAGGATGGCACTCTGCCGGCACTGCCTGCAATGGGCCCGAGGATGGAAACCTGCTGCCGGCCCGTCCTGCTGCTGGTCATTGTGGCCGCAGCAGCCACCGCAGTGCCTTCCCAACACAAGACGCTGAGCTATGAAGAGGCCATTGCCCTGGCCGTCGATTTCTACAACAAAGGGTCAGGCATCGACCATGCCTTCCGGCTCCTTAAAGCGGACCCACAGCCTGAGTGGGTAAGTAGCAGCTCACTCCCTTTATGGCACTATGTTCTGGCTGCGGCTGAAACCAGGCACCAGAATCAGACCCTCACCCACTAGGCTCCCATCTATTCAAAACACAACCCTCGAAGCTTTGAGATATTCACACCAGGTTATAACACAGCAGCTTCCTGCCTTGTAATTGTCACACTGACGGACCCCGGTTGTTGGGCGGGATCGAACCTGGGACCTCTGAAGCTTAATGCATGAGCCAAAAGCCACAATGGCCATTAGCGAAGGCTGTAGCAGACTCATTAATCTCTATGTGGTCTCGGTGCCACTAGAGGGGACAGAGCACCACACCCAGGAGGCGTGCGGGTTACATACTTCCCTGGCTGAGGAAGCACGTCCTGAGCTTCAGAGACTTCCCAGTTGAAATCCCAGATGAGCCCCCACTTGTAACGCCGACAGACCCCAGTCGTTGTCTTGTGGGGTCGAACCTGGGACCTCACTGCTTGAGCCTCTACTGCATGAGCTAAAAGCCACATGATTCTGAGCTAAGGTGGTAGCAGACTCGTGAAGCTCTAAGTGGTTTTAGTGCCACCAGAGGGGACAGAACACCACATCTGGGAGGTGTGTGGGTTACATACGGACAACCATGAAGGGTCGTAACGCAGCCTTTCCCTAGGATTTGTTAAGATAGGGATTGTTTTCTCTCTAGGCAAAAATTCATGATAAACCTTAATATTACATATATTGCAGAGCTCTCTCTCTATATATTTCCAATGGAGAGCCGTGCAATAAGAGAGAAGTTTTAAATTAAGGGCCAGGTGTTCAAGCACTTGGTTGTACAAAATACAGATATGATAGCTAGACTAATTTGCACATGTGATTGCTGGGATTGCTTGTGTAAACTGGTAATTGCATTACCAGCGGCTCAGCAGTGGCATTTGTGTGTGTATTTGTCCAGTTTTCATGCTCACTTGCGATAATTATGCATGCAAATTAGGTGAGTAGTTGCCATCCACAATGTTTGTAAATCTGCCCCCCAGTGTCCACCGTGTGCCTCACTGTGCAGTGAATTGACATCTCAACAAGATAAACCCTGAGACGCTACTCTAATGGGTGCCATATAAAAGCCTAAAGTACAGAGCTGGAGAATGAGTTGAAAGCAGATTTATGGAGATTTAGCAACCGTGTCACCTTCTCCCCATGTGTCCTCTACAAACGGCGTTTGCAAAAGACTCATTTTATTTGTAAATTGCAATGATGGGGCTCAGTTCTGCTCTTGGTCACTCTGGTGTAACTTGGAGGAGTTCCAGTGGTGTGAGCTGGGTGACATGTGGGAACTTCGTCTTCTGCCTCATTACAGCTGGACCAGTGAACTGTCTGCTGCTGCAGTAAGGCTGAGCTGCAGCCCGATGCATGGCTGCCCTTGCTAGATAAATGCAGAGAGAGAAGTTGGGATCGCACAAGGCTGATGTGAGCTAAATGGCGAGGCAGAGCCTGATGTGTGGGTGCTGTTGTGGCTATGGGGGCTTACTCCCCATCAGAGTTTATCCCAAACTTCTATTTCATTTGTTTCCCCAGGACATGACGTCTAACCCTCGGCAGGCACTGAAGTTCACGGTTAAAGAGACAGTGTGCCCGGTGTCAGAGAACCTCCCCGGGACTGAATGTGACTTCAGAGACAATGGGGTAAGCCATAACCATCTCTGAAGACAGTGTCACAGGATCTGTCTCCTGTTTCGTTTAACACCCAGCTGCCGTGGTCCCCGATCAGCGCTCCCTAACCCCCAGGGATAGCAGGAGCAGAACGCTCATCACCACGGCCCTTTGCGTGGCGACAGGCTCTGTGCCGAAATAAAGCGGGCTAGTCATGGGAGTAAACCCTACTCAGGAGGAGTAAGAAATGCGGCACCAGACCCAAGCCCTCTTGCTGGAAATGAACATCCGGAAGGGGGGTGAATTCATTTTACAGTGATGTTCACAGGCTGATTTGCCAGTATCACCCAGCAGGGAAGGCTGCTGCTGGGGGGAAGTGTTCTTAGAGAAATGGTTGGGGGTGGGCTCTGACCCACCGTATACGTCTGTCTTTTGCCCATAATGGTTTGCAGCCTGTGGTCCAGCACTGCTCAGGAAGCCGCAATAGCTTATCCAGCCTTCTGCCTAGCCCAGAAGTTCCAACTTTTCCTCTCTACCGTGGTCCTCACCAGGGTCATCCAGCTGTAATCACCTCCAGGCTAGACTCTTGTAATCTGCTCTTCTTAGGGCTGTATTTACAGACCACCAAGGGCTTTAACTAGCAGGGATCCAGCTGGTGGATAAAGTGGCCATCCCAATCTCTCCCTCTTGTACCCAGCTACATCACCTCTGGTGCTACTCGTCACCATGACCTAGGCTGAGGACTTCAGCCCATTTTCCCCACAGCCAGACTTGTACCCACGCCTCCAGAGGCGGCTCACGCACTGCCTTTCCTCCCATGGCACTCAGAAACTGAGCTGAGATCTTCCTCCTCACAGGTGGTCAGAGACTGTTCAGGATTCTTCTCCACCCTGCAGAAGTCGCCCATAGTCCTCATCAGCTGCAACACTGTGACCCAGGAGGTAGGTCTTGCACTCTGGTGACATCATCTTCCAAGTGGGGGCTGGGCCGGTGATGGGGCAGGGATCGGTTTCCTGGGTGGGGATTTGAGACTGCAAGGACAGCACAGTGATGGGTGTCTAGCTGCATCCGGTAGGGACATAGCCATTAGAGACCCCCCCTGGGGCTGGCAGCTGAATCCCACAGGTCCCATCTGCCATGCAAACACCTCACTGGGATATAGGAGGAATCCAAACCTCGGTGTCGTCTCCACCTGGGACCAAGACATGGCCAGGTGAAGAGGGGGATGCCCTCTCTGCAGCTACGATTTAGTCCCATTTAGGTGGTTCATGGGTAACTGATGCAGCAGGAGCCTTTCCTAAGCCCATACAACAGATATTGCACCCCCCTCATATAGCAAGGACCTTCCCCCTGCCCAGAGAGCCATCATGGAAGCAAGGCTTGGGCAGAAATGGGAGGTGGGTACTCTTTTCTTCCATGAAAGCTTTGTCCCAGAGCTCTGGCTCTCCAGCAAGGGAGTTTCTGGCCCTCCCAGACAGGCCCCATTGTGCAGCGTCAGCCACCAGCCAGGAAGAGAGAAGCAACTGTCCTGGGGGGGACTCAAGGGCTGCCGCTGCTTCCCCCTCCTCCCAGGGCACCCACTTATAGCATCCCCTCCACTAAACACCCAGCTTCTGGCCATGGAGCAAGCGACCAAGCTGGGTCTCCTGACTCAGACCTCCCCAACACAGGGCAGTGCAGAGAACATAGCAATGGGCTGTTGAAGGAGACCGCCTCGTCCCACTTCCCAAGCAAATCCCAACTGGCAGATAGTGATGCAGAGCTGGTATCGGTCTCCCTGGAAACACTCGTGTGCTCCTTTCCTTCCAGGGTGCTCACATCAGGAGGTCCAGAAGCCCGAAACGTAGATGGTGGCGTCGTCGCTGGCACCTGCCTGGCTCCTACACACTCATAGCCCAGGGTGGACGCAAAGGCAAAGGCAAAGGCAAAGGCAGTAGATTACAAATGGTCTGATGGGAAGAGGCCTGGGCATCCACACAGCAGCTTTTGCGACTCTTGCTTTGTTACTCTGTTCCTTCTGTTTCTGTTCTTAGTTTACTCCTGACACCATGTCATGTTCTTCTGCACCAGATGTGGACTGGATACAGGGCTTCCTTAAACCCACCGGATGTGTTCATCATACAATCCTTTTATGCTCTGCTGGGTGGTATTTGACACACAGGTGTGGCTAAGGTATTAAACGAAGTATTTGACACCCCCCCTTGCCCCCAGTGTCTTGACTGTATAATACAATTTCGCATCCCATTACAGTTCCAGCCTCCTCCCTGTAGCTTCTGAATGGCTTGTAAGTGACTCAGATACGAGGGGTGGGCCACATGACATCAGAACCACAGTCCAGCTAGGCCAGTGTCTTGCCTCACACAGTGACTAGCTTTTCACGATGGCGCAAGGAGGAAAGATGTTTCAAACAACTGTCTCATTTTCCATCTCTTCCTTGGGTTGGTTTTAAACGGCCTTTCCTAAACAAGTGTCCTTTCCTAAACAAGTGTCCTTTCCTTGTGTCCTTTCCTAAATAAGTGATTTAACACAGCCGGGCGACACAGGGGTGGGCCTTCGAGTAACATTTGTCCCTGGGCCTCCTGCCCAACTTCGTGAATCCACGGATGCCCAGCACAAGCAAAAGCGCTCCAGGCTCTGAAGCCAGTAGAGACACATGGGGAGCTGGGGTGGAAAGAGCTGGGAATGGGGCTCCTGCATCACAGCTGGTGGCTCGGTACAAGTGACAGGTGCTCCAGAACTGCAGATCGATGCAATAATCTAGATAGGAAGATGGTAAAAACACTCACTGTGTATGGGCCTGATCCAAAGCCATTGAAGCCAGTAGGCGTCTTTCCATTGACTTCAGTGGGGTTTGGGTGAGGCTTTCAGCTCCCACTTCCCTTTGCCTTTTGTGGGTGAGAAGCTCCGGACTTCACCTGGTCTGTCCCAGTGGCAGAGCAATCTTTGCAGCACTGAAGGCCCTATACCACTGACAAGAACCCCAAGGCAATGTAAAAAGGAAGTAGATGCTGAAATTTCCCCTGTGATCAGAGGAGACAGAGACAGTATTTGACACTGCATCAGGCTTCCCAGTCTCCCCTTACCTTTGGCAGGAGGCCCTAGATACACACTGGCCTCAGTGCTGCATTTGGGGGTGGGGAGAGTTCATCCCCTCTGAAGTTGTGGTTTAAGAATCATAGAATCATAGAATCATAGAATATCAGGGTTGGAAGGGACCTCAGGAGGTCATCTAGTCCAACCCCCTGCTCAGAGCAGGACCAATCCCCAATTAAATCATCCCAGCCAGGGCTTTGTCAAGCCTGACCTTAAAAACTTCTAAGGAAGGAGATTCTACCACCTCCCTAGGTGACGCATTCCAGTGTTTCACCACCCTCTTAGTGAAAAAGTTTTTCCTAATATCCAACCTAAACCTCCCCCACTGCAACTTGAGACCATTACTCCTTGTCCTGTCCTCTTCTACCACTGAGAATAGTCTAGAACCATCCTCTCTGGAACCGCCTCTCAGGTAGTTGAAAGCAGCTATCAAATCCCCCCTCATTCTTCTCTTCTGCAGACTAAACAATCCCAGTTCCCTCAGCCTCTCCTCATAAGTCATGTGTTCCAGCCCCCTAATCATTTTTGTTGCCCTTCGCTGGACTCTCTCCAATTTATCCACATCCTTCTTGTAGTATGGGGCCCAAAACTGGACACAGTACTCCAGATGAGGCCTCACCAATGTCGAATAGAGGGGGACAATCACGTCCCTCGATCTGCTCGCTATGCCCCTACTTATACATCCCAAAATGCCATTGGCCTTCTTGGCAACAAGGGCACACTGCTGACTCATATCCAGCTTCTCGTCCACTGTCACCCCTAGGTCCTTTTCTGCAGAACTGCTGCCTAGCCATTTGGTCCCTAGTCTGTAGCTGTGCATTGGGTTCTTCCGTCCTAAGTGCAGGACCCTGCACTTATCCTTATTGAACCTCATAGGATTTCTTTTGGCCCAATCCTCCAATTTGTCTAGGTCCCTCTGTATCCTATCCCTGCCCTCCAGCGTATCTACCACTCCTCCCAGTTTATTATCATCCGCAAATTTGTTGAGAGTGCAATCCACACCATCCTCCAGATCATTTATGAAGATATTGAACAAAACCGGCCCCAGGACCGACCCCTGGGGCACTCCACTTGACACCGGCTGCCAACTAGACATGGAGCCATTGATCACTACCCGTTGAGCCCGACAATCTAGTCAACTTTCTACCCACCTTATAGTGCATTCATCCAGCCCATATTTCTTTAACTTGCTGACAAGAATACTGTGGGAGACTGTGTCAAAAGCTTTGCTAAAGTCAAGAAACAATACATCCACTGTTTTCCCTTCATCCACAGAACCAGTAATCTCATCATAGAAGGCGATTAGTCAGGCATGACCTTCCCTTGGTGAATCCATGCTGACTGTTCCTGATCAGTTTCCTCTCATGTAAGTGCTTCAGGATTGATTCTTTGAGGACCTGCTCCATGATTTTTCCGGGGACTGAGGTGAGGCTGACTGGCCTGTAGTTCCCAGGATCCTCCTTCTTCCCTTTTTTAAAGATTGGCACTACATTAGCCTTTTTCCAGTCGTCTGGGACTTCCCCCGTTCGCCACGAGTTTTCAAAGATAATGGCCAATGGCTCTGCAATCACAGCCGCCAATTCCTTTTGCACTCTCGGATGCAACTCGTCCGGCCCCATGGACTTGTGCACGTCCAGCTTTTCTAAATAGTCCCTAACCACCTCTTTCTCCACAGAGGGCTGGCCATCTATTCCCCATGTTGTGATGCCCAGCGCAGCAGTCTGGGAGCTGACCTTGTTCGTGAAGACAGAGGCAAAAAAAGCATTGAGTACATTAGCTTTTTCCACATCCTCTGTCACTAGGTTGCCTCCCGCATTCATTAAGGGGCCCACACTTTCCTTGGCTTTCTTCTTGTTGCCAACATACCTGAAGAAACCCTTCTTGTTACTCTTGACATCTCTCGCTAGCTGCAGCTCCAAGTGCGATTTGGCCCTCCTGATTTCATTCCTACATGCCCGAGCAATATTTTTATACTCTTCCCTGGTCATATGTCCAACCTTCCACTTCTTGTAAGCTTCTTTTTTATGTTTAAGATCCGCTAGGATTTCACCGTTAAGCCAAGCTGGTCGCCTGCCATATTTACTATTCTTTCGACACATCGGGATGGTTTGTCCCTGTGACCTCAACAGGGATTCCTTGAAATACAGCCAGTTCTCCTGGACTCCTTTCCCTTTCATGTTATTCCCCCAGGGGATCCTACCCATCCGTTCCCTGAGGGAGTCAAAGTCTGCTTTCCTGAAGTCCAGGGTCCGTATCCTACTGCTTACCTTTCTTCCCTGTGTCAGGATCCTGAACTCAACCAACTCATGGTCACTGCCTCCCAGATTCCCATCCACTTTTGCTTCCCCCACCAATTCTTCCTGGTTTGTGAGCAGCAGGTCAAGAAAAGCTCCCCCCCTAGTTGGCTCCTCTAGCACTTGCACCAGGAAATTGTCCCTTACGCTTTCCAAAAACTTCCTGGATTGTCTATGCACCGCTGTATTGCTCTCCCAGCACATATCAGGAAAATTAAAGTCACCCATGAGAACCAGGGCGTGCGATCTAGTAGCTTCTGCGAGCTGCCGGAAGAAAGCCTCATCCACCTCATCCCCCTGGTCCGGTGGTCTATAGCAGACTCCCACCACTACATCACTCTTGTTGCTCACACTTCTAAACTTAATCCAGAGACACTCAGGTTTTTCTGCAGTTTCGTACCGGAGCTCTGAGCAGTCATGCTGCTCCCTTACATACAGTGCTACTCCCCCACCTTTTCTGCCCTGCCTGTCCTTCCTGAACAGTTTATAACCATCCATGACAGTACTCCAGTCGTGTGAGTTATCCCACCAAGTCTCTGTTATTCCAATCACAT